CTCGGCTTGGTTTCGTGGGCGGCCCCCCCCCATCTTCCCAGTCCACTTGAGAAGATGAAGGAGTTAAATACCTTTGATGCTGCCTGTGGGTAGTCGGGGGGGAAAAACACACACACAAAGGGGTCGTGTGAACGGGAACAAAATCGCCTCTTCCGGATTCATCTGTACTTCTAAAACCAACCAGACAAACAAAACAACAGAAAGCCGCGATCTAGCCAAAGTTAGAAGACGTTCTCGTCCTCCTTTTACGTAGATTCGCTCTCCCGAAGGGCCTGCAGGCCCAACCTGAGCAGGATTACTCGAAAGTAATCCTTTCTCGGTGTTCCATTAGAACTTATTCTACCTAAGGGAGTGCACGAACCTGCAGAACTAAAAACCGGAGCCCAAACCGTTTCTGTGTGCGGATGCCTTTGCTAGATTGACCCACCCGCTAGTCTGTCCCCTCCTAAGCGTGACAAATGCGTGTTTGGAATAACATAAGGACGTGGACGTCGGGAACAAACCCGAGTAAAAAGGCGTAGACGCCTACAGCTCTTCCCATACATCTCAACCGGGAGGTGGCTTCCCGCTCGGNTCCCCCCCCCCCCCGTTCCCTCTCTCCGGGTCGTGTGAACGTTTCCCTGATGCCCTGGAATTGGGAAAACAGGCTGCCCGGAAGAGGGGAGAGGGCGAACCGATCGTCCTCAAATTTCTTTCGGGAAAGGCTTACGGGACGCGAAAGGGGACAGTTTAGCTCTCTTTCACTTTGCGGGTAAATCCCGTGGTCTGTTACTCGGAAGTAAGCGTTCGGTGGTGAATTGTGCCCACGAACGTTTCCCTTAGAAAGTTGAACGAGGGGAAGAATGTATAGTATTCTATATTTTCTCCCTCCCTCAATAATAATAATCATATTATTAATAATAGAATTACTATGTATTTTTGACGGGGAGACGGGAGGAATAGGTTCCCGTCTTCTTGCTGTTTTCGGGTGGTTCAGAAGATCCGCTCTCCTCAACGCATTTTTTTTTCCTTTCCTTCTGAGAAGAGGAAAGGCAGAGAAACGCTGGTTTTAGGAGGACGGGTCGTTGACGGTCCTTATCAAACAATTTAATTAGAGGGTCCCCAGAAAGAAGGGTGTGTAGGTGTGTGTGTGTGTGTGTGTGTGTACACGCGGAAAATCTGCCCGGTATTTATTGTATTTAGCAGAAAACTGTAGCACAAGCCTGATTCTCAAAGAGCACCTAGAAGCCCATTGAAAGGCGATGATCCGAAAAGACGAGAGGCGACAAGAA